TAATATTTCTATAACTAATACAATAATAAAGAGAATAACTAATACTATACTAATAAATATAACTATATAATAATAACCAATATTAAATAAATATAACTAATACTGTATATACAAATAATAAACTATAATCTATACTATACTATGCTAATATTATGTTGTGTTACAATCTGCTTTGTAATAATATAAAGCTCTTACTTATTTTTTTTGTAGATTGTTGTGATATCTTTAAGTAAGATATTTGTTTATATATAAATTATTTTATTATTATATAGTTAGAGAGCCTACTTTTATCACCTGATTATTTAGAGGGTGGGAGTAATAGCTATTATTAGATTACACAATAAAGCTTAAATTTCATTGGTTAATTAATAAATAAAGCCAGCATAATACTTTTGCCCAAAGTTGATTAGTCAAATTTTTACTATATACGTAGTTTACTAATGTACGTATAGTACATACTTCAATGATTTTATATAAAATAAAGGTTAGTTAGCTTATTGAAGATAAACTAAATTTGTTATTCCTAGCAGCATACTATTATATACATATTGTTCTTTGCTTATTGTTTTTATACAAAGAGATTTAGAGTTTTAAACCCTTCGATTATTAAGATCGATAATTTAGAAAACTTATTTTGATATACTACTAGTTTATCTATATAGAAATATTGAGTTTTTTAAATTTCTTGCACTGTATGTATATATGTATTAGAGGGTCCAGTTTTCTGCCTGTACGGAATCTGCTGATAAGCAGAAAAAGCAAAATTATCATTATTACTATATATAGTTATAAATATCTAAATATAGTTAATTACCTATCAATTAATCAGCAGAAAAGACAAAACAAAAGCAATAATTTAACAGCTTAAAAAAGCAAATTTCTGGACACTCTAATATGTATATATGTATATGGCTTAGTGCTCTTTTGAACTACTAATTATAAAATATTAAAGTTTTTAAAAACTTTAGATCACAATTATATATAAGAACAACCTGAATTTTATTGCATACAAACATTAATAACACTTTCGAATATTTTATAATAAATTTAATAAATAATACTGATTGTTATTTTTTTTCTACTTTTATTTATTCACTATTAGATATAGAAGAATACTGCTCGATCAACACAAATAGTTCTAATAGTTGTGTTTTTTGAAAAGAAAAAAGAACAAAAAAATCATCTATCATGGCAAAATTTGACAAGACTGAATGCTGTAAAGAATCTGCTAATACCGGATATCCTTTTTTATTTTTGTAGCATAGCTGCCGATATTTAGCTATAAAAGTAGTAATAGGAAAATATTTGTTACACTTTGTACAAGTTCTTTGTATATGTATCTCAGCTAAGATCAAAAGACATTGGGTATCATATACTGGAACTTTAACATGATTGTAGAATTCCAAAGTATGTATAGAGTTTAAGAAATGACCATCTATACCTTTTATTATGGGTGAAATAAAACTATTATTAATTGCTAGTAGGTTCATTGCTTCTTTCGTGCATTTAGGGGAGCAGCATATGAGATCATTACACTTGTAAATATCAAGGAAATACTAACATATTTGGCAATGATTCTTAATCCAATGCCATAGCACAGATAAGTTATCTTTTTTAATTTGATTATTATTTTATTTTTTTTATTTTTTTGTTGTATTTCTTGTTTATTAATTTCTAGAAATTCTAGCCCAATAAATAGTATGCTAGATTGATCAGTATATTCAGTAAAAACTGATTTTCCAAATATAAAATCTTTTTTCCAAAGTTTACAAAGTATTTCTCCTGCATAACAAAAGTTGTGGAGACCCAATTCAATGTTTTGTATTTTTTCTTGTAAATCAAGGTGAGTTCTATACTTATATATAGGCAAAGTAATTCCTGCAAGTTTTTCTAAGAGAGTAACTATACTCCTTTTTACTGGGTTGTAGGCTGACTGTCCCAGGGTATGAGTGCATACAGTAAGATAATCAAGGTTAAGAAAGTGGAAAAGTTTACAGTATTAATATATGTTTTTTAGGTGTCTTGGGTTTTCGTCAGGACTACTATCTACAAAGAAAGTTCAAAGTGACTTTATATTATCTTTATTTTGGAACACCTCAGTAAATTGAATATTTTCTATCAAAGCAAGAATATCAGCCATGTGAGTAGCCAATGTTGAATCTAAATGCCATTGGGGTTTTACAAAAATTGCCAATTGTTCATCACGCAGAAACTTATTTGCTTTATTTGGATTAATTATTAAATGTTACAGATTATCGTGAAATTGGATCATCGTGAAATTTAGATTTATTTTATATACAATTTTTAAAATTTTTTGGGGCCTTTTTTGTAAGCTTTTTTTTTATAGTTAAGTCAGGGTTTAGGGTTAGAATTATTAATAAAAGAGTATAGGTGGATTTTGGTAGGGCTTGTATTTTCAAATCAAGACCCCCAAATTTCACGATGATCTGATTTCACAATAATCCGTGACATTAAATAACCTAAAGAAACCAATTTTTGAGAATCATTAATTGAAAAATCATGGTCTGCTATTGCTACGGGTTCATGGATGGTTTGCATTATTTGAAAATGTTTACCAATAGCAGGAATTCCAACAGGAACTTTGAACTTGTTATCCTGAGATATAATAGCATAATCAGGAAAAGTTGATACAAACTGTTTCACATTTTTTACTGAGGCAAGGCAGTAGTGTTCATCAACATAATTCTTTTTTTTATCTCTTGGTACTCTAGCAACATCTACTAATACTGTATAGTGGTGAGCTCTTGAACTAATACTTCTACTATTCTGAGGTAACAAGTAGGTTTTTAAACAGTTGTGAGACAAATACACTTGATATCTTGCTTCTAGTTCACTATGTAAATGATCTATCGTTTTAACCTTAATCACTTTACACCTTCTTTTAGTATCTGCTTCGCCAAACTCAATGCATTCATGAATTTGCTTATAAAGGTCCGGGTACTTAAATAATGCTGGGAAATGACCAGGTGAGTCATATCTGACTACTATATTTTCTTTATTTAATTGTTTAAGTTTTTTAGCCTAAGATTTATGTTATGAGAAAGCATGCTATTTGAGTTTGTTAAGTTGATTTTTTTATTATTAATTTTAGTTCATATATTATCAATTTGTGAAACAAATTATGCTTTTAATTCTGTATTTACTATCATTTTTTTTATTTCATTTAATTCCTTATATGCATTTTGAATCAATTCTATAATTCTTTTTTGGGCGGCTGTATTATGTGGAATTTCTTCTGAAATTTCATCTGGAATATTAGACAAATTGCTAGATAAATTGCTAAACGAAAAGTAGAAAGAGCCTCGATACTTAAAACGGGGACACCGTCAGGAAAGACAGGCAATCGATATTCCAAACTTTGTTTTTCGAAAAGTTCAAAGCATGGTAAGGACACGACACGAACTTTAATGCCCTCTTTTTCTAATAAATTTGCAGCGATTGAAACTTCTGTGCCAGTTCCTGTCAAGATAATTTGTGCATCATGACAATCTTTTAAGTGCCTTCAATTGAGGAACCTTCTAAATTAGGAAAATTATGACGCGAAAGAGCAAGCACTGAAGGGTGTTCGTTTACATCAGCAGGTCTTAAAAATAGAAGATTCGGGAGACCAGCAACAGTTTCAATGGGTTGATGAGTTGGCCCATCTTCACCTATAAAATTGATACATAAAAAATTGTAAATAAACATCCGGACTTTTTTTTTGAAAAAAAAAAAACAAAAACGTACCCAAACCGATGGAGTATATAAATTACACGAAGTGATGAAAATGCTGATAAACGAACAGCACCCAAGCCATAGCTAATAAAGTTCAAGAATGATCCTCCGAATGGAATTATACCACAAGACCATTCATAGCAGCAGCCATAGCATGTTCACGAACCCCATATCTGACATATCGTCCACTATATGTACCCAATCCCGTAGAATCAGCTTGAAATTCGGAAATTTTGTGCGATTAATTATGCGACATTTCTCATAGTGACTACTTAGCTTGACGTAGAGGTCGTACTACCCGAGTCGTATAGCGTTACGTACTACTGTACCCTGAAATTACTTAATTTAGGTTATATAGTACAGTATATATATCGATATAGCTTAATAACTCTTGTCTGCTATTTTGGGGAACACTGTATATTACGTAATTTTTTTAATACTTATTAAGCTACTGATGTTAATGCTAGTAGAAGGTGTCATATTCGGCCAGCTTTAATGCCTAGTACATAAGGGTAAGTTATTGGGGTGTCTATGCATATCTAATACAAACATAGTGCAGGGCATATAGTGACGGTGGCGTAGTGGTAGCAATAACCCTTGAACAACCCACAAATAAATTATATTTGTCGGTTTCATTTTAGTGTGTGTACTCTTTAAAGTATTTTTATTTTTATTGTTTGAAGCATAGCGGAGGACAAAATTGTCGGTTTGATATTTTTTAAATAAAAATATCAAAAACGAAAGATTTTTCTACTCGGACGAAAGATTCAAAGTTACATTTTTGATGCTTTTATTAAAAAAAATCAAACCAACCATTTCACATGGAAATTGGGTCCTCCGCTATGCTCAACAATTAACAAAGGGATGTTACTTTAAAAAGTACACTAAAATGAACCGACAAATATAATTTTATTGCTTGTTCAAGTTATTGCAATCTAGATTTACTATTTACGCTATCACTACGCTACCTGCACTGTTTGTACAGTAATTAGATATGCATTAGACACCCCAGTAAGTTACAGGTAACTTTATCGTAACTTACCATGTAAAGTAAGTTTTAACAACCCTATACTTGAGCCAATTATCCTAACACATACCCATCACATAACCAATTTAGTTATTGGTCCTGGTGTTACCATCCACTGGCTAATCAAATTTCGAGATCGGATATAACGCACATAAATTTTTTTTTTTATGAACACCTACGCCCTTTTTTTTGCCCTTCTAACCTAATCTAATAAAGAAAAACCTAATTTAATCTCGGCGAAATTTTTTTCTAGGAATTCAAAAACAAACCTAAAAATGGAGAACTTGTAAATATTGAAAGGTCAAATAATATGTTTATTAGGTGTATCAGTCTTTCGATTCTTCTGAATTTCTAACGCTGACTAGCTTATACTTATAGCGCGACCATTTCTGCGAACCCTTGGCCTGCCTTTTTTCGCTATAACCAATTCCGTATCGGTATCAAGTAATTAAGATCACGTAGCACAAATTTAAATTGCATATATTATAATAACTAGCTCTATGAATTAATAAAATTTATATCCAAATAAATCCATATTTTTTTTTATAAATTTTACAATCAAATCCTATTTTTACAGGTTTAAAAAATTATGTCCATATTGATATTTTTACAATACCATTTTTCCGGGTCTCTGATGAAAGGGTCATTTGACCACGTGACTTCAGATGTTACGTTAACAGTTAATAAAATAAATATTAATCTACTCATGTGTTAAATCACGTGATCACAGACACGTGGATGAGTAAATTTTTATAGATTATTAGATTAATATATTATAGGCACGCAACTCGTAGCTACTATGCCCGACAGCGAGCCGAACGTCTGAAAATTTATATTATATATCAATTTGAGTAAACAAGATCCCTCGTTCGTCTCTCCATTTGTTCACCATCTCTTGCGCAAAGGCCAATGTAGCTTTAAGATCAGTATTGATCTTTAAATCCCGCTTTCCTAACTGACTTTTTGATTCTTCAAAAGTTTGGTGAATCTTTGCCATCTGTTTCTTCATCGATTCTAAGCAACTAAAAATATATATATGTGTATTGTTAACGGGAAATTCAGAAATAGCAAATTTTTATAAAAACTTACTTCAAATATTCTTCAAAGGCTTTCTTAGAATTTGAAGACGATGAATCCTTTATATAAGTATCTAAAAGATTATTCTCAACCTGACGGAACCGATTTTGTTCAAGCTGCCAATGTTTAAATAGGATCACTGCTTTGACAAACTTGACAAGACCTGCCAAAGGAGTTTCGTTTCCTTGTTTTTCAATTGTGGCTCGGATAAAGTCGAATAATTTCTCTAAATTAAGATACTTAAAATTATATGAGTAACCGTTCTTATCGGCTTCATGTTGGTGAAAAACAGCTTCGGTGTAGCGTAGAAAAGATTCCAGATAATCGGACACCTTTTCCAGTGGTGATCGTTTCTCTGTATCTTTTTCAGCTCGATGTTTGTATTCTCGACCTATGGCACTTTTACGTTCAAATAGGGCATGGTGAAATCGAGCCATGTCTGCTCGGTCCTCATCATTCCCAGGTTCTTGATTTTGTGTGCCTATTGAGTCTTTCTGTATATCTATTGGATCTGTTTGAACTTCGATTGATCTCGTATAAGAAGAATTATCTGTTTGATTACCAACGGTTTGAACAGTTATGACAGGAGATTGAACACCGAGCGTGCGTTGCTCTATAGTGGATTGTCCAACGTTTTGTGGTTTAAACGTCTCATCGAACTCCAATATATCGGTTTGTTGAGAGCTTGATTCGGATGTACTTTTGACTAATTTCCGTTTTCCGTTGCGAGAAATATCCTGATAATCTCGAACTTTAGTCGTTTTCGTCCCTTTTGTTGACCCATTTTCCAAGGGTTTCACTCCTTTATTTCCAGAATCAGGTACATCGGAACTAACCTCTACTATCTGAGATTTTATACCCTTCGAATGTTTTTGTTGTGATGACCAAGAATTTTCATGGTGTGATGCAGCAGGATGATTATCATCTGACTTTGACTCCTGTTTTCTTGGTGGGATCTTCAATTTAACTATTAACTGTTTAACAAGTTTTTGGAGATCGTTGTTGATAGGATTATTTGTGGCAGGCGGATCTCCTAAAGTTCTTTCGTCATCATTCGTGAATTCTCGATCTGTCATAATGGCATCTTTGCTATTGTTCCGTTTATAGCCTGCGGCCTTCTGCACTCGCGGATTTTTTGAGATTGGTAACTTTTTGGGAGGGCGTTTTGTTGCCACTTCCTTGCCTTTGTTTCTCTTCTTGAACTCGACATCGTCTATGGTAGGCATCGTGATGGAGGCTTTTCTCTTTCGTGTTTCGTAAAATTTCTAATTAAATTTTAAATGTGTAAAATCGGTCGTTCTTATCCAGTTCTTGAATGTGTTGAAAAAATAAATCAATGAAAAACTTTCTATTACCTCCAGCACGCTTTTAGCATCATCTCTCGTAAATTCCCTTTTTCCAGCATCTATATTTGCTTTTCCGTTTGATAAGGGATCTTTCTTATTCATTTTATTCGATGCAGAAGTGCTAGGATTATCCGTGTTAGATTTCATAGTTTTCGGTGTGCTAAACCATCAGAAAACCACCATAATTAATCATCATACGATGATGAAAAATTTATGAAGGATCATTATCGTGGTGTTATTCACCTCACATGTTCTGCTTCCTCCATTGATTTGTTAATACTAGAACTATCATACGGATGTTGTTTTGAAAGCCTTTTAATTTAGGAGAAAAAAATGTATTCTATTAAGTACTCATACTACATATAATTCAATAAATAATCAGTGTCATAATAGAACATCAGACTAACAGATCTCGACATTAATGTCATGATTAGAATATCGATATTGTTACACACCCTTCAAGAAACTCGAGATAGGCGATATTGTTTTTTGAAGAGTTTGAGGAAGCAGTATTGTTAGAAGGCTTATCTGAACCGACTGGAACTTGTCGGTTAGGTGCAACTTGCGTAGCATTTTTTTGTTGCGCCGAAGGAAGTGGAGGTTGGGACAAATACTGTTTCTGTTTTAGTGTTGGTGCCGGCGCTCTTACCAAGTAACTACACCATTCGTCAAAGGGAATTTCATAATTGCCTAGCGGCATTGGCCCCCTTGGTTGAGAATAAGGACCATTTGGAAAACTTTTTCGGAACTCTTCAATTGCAGGCTGGATTTTTTGTTCAAATTTGATATAAAACTCTAACTCTTCTTTCTCAGACTTTTTCTTTAGCTCTTTTTGTTCGTCAGGACTAGCCATTGCTTCATAGATCGTTGATAAAAATAAGGGTCTTATTAGCCACGTAACTTTCAAAAAAAAAGTATCAAAAATGCAAAGAATAATATAGATTTAATGTAAGAACGAATCTAATAATTATAAACATATATATGTTACGTAGATTTTCTTTGAAGTTGAATTTATATATTCGAAAGTAACACTGTACAACCGCATGACCTAACTGTCATAATCGAAGAGAGATAACTTAACATTGACAAGCCACGGGTCGGAGTTTGAGCGCTTGCAGATATAAATCATGTGTGGCACGCTCTCTCATGCACAAAAGTTTATTTCTTTTGTCATTCGCTGATTATATCTTTGTCATTTGCATTATCATTCTGTCAGTGAGCAACAAATGATGCAGTATTCAAATGTAATATCAAATCGAATTAATTGACTAAAAATCAATGTTAAAAAATTAACATTATTGTTTTTTTTAGGTGCGGCCAAATTTGATTTATGCAATATCAACATTTCGCAAAATATATAGAAATCAATTTATGAGAATTAATTTATTTTCTCAAAGCCATAAAAAAATTTTTCACTACCGCATGCATTCAACTACAACGAACCTGCCAAATAAGGTTCAATTTTTGTTGGAACAAGTTGGAGACTTAACACGTAATCATGCATATTTACTTTTTTTTTTTTTTTTATTTGTTTAATATTTCAGTATTTTTTTGATTTTAAATTTGTTGCTTGTAGAGTTGAATGTGACAGATCGAAAACAGTCGAAAGGGGTTATAACAGATATCCAACAAACGATTGGATCGACATATGGGTTTGTAATCACCACCTAACAAATTTCTTAGTTTCCATATTTTGGCCAATTTCATCTAACACTTTTCTTTAGCGGTAATTACAAACTAAAATGGGTACAGCAACCTCGTTCAGTTTTTGTTGTTAAAAAACCATCGAGCGAATCAACGGAGAAAACGTTTGTGGAATTAATAAAGTAAGGAATGAATCGGTGAATAATAACATTAGTTGTTATTTCATCAAATAATAATAATAATATATATATATATTGATTTCTCGACATTAGTTGGCTACACGATAAATATCCTCAAATTAATATAATAATCGAACAAGAAGTTGCAAAAGAATTTCAAAATAGACTACCATTTGTATACATTATACCCAAAGGTGAACTTTGTACACGATATTTTATGAAAATATAATCGCGTTAACTTTACAGCTTTTCGATGCGCACTATAGGGCAAAAAGATGAATATGCACGAGTCGTAGATTTTATTATTGCTCTGGGGGGTGATGGTACTATTTTACATGTATCTTCACAATTCAATCATTCCGTTCCACCTATTATCTCATTTTCGATGGGAACACTTGGTTTCTTGTTACCATTTCGTATCCATATCTTATTTTATAATTATTACATAAAGTTTATAAATTTTTATGTATTCCTTGACCATCACGCTCGATCGTATCGATTAGATGTTCGACACTATGAGTCGGCATTGGAATCTTTGATCAAAGGTGATGTCCCCTTGTTACTGCGAATGAGATTGGCATGTTCAATTTGGAACGCAGAAAGAAAGAGAATTTTGTGGAATGATCAAGAAATCGGTAACTTCATTATTTCAGTGTTTTTACCGACATTAAGATAATAATCGTTTAATATATTGAATGGTTAGGACATATACAAGCCATGAATGAAGTAAACTTACACAGAGGACGTTTTCCGCATTTAACAGCAATTAATTGTTTTGTTGATGAACAATTCCTAACTAATGCAGTGGTATATTTTCGAGATACTTTATTTGCATTTATTTTTACTTTAAAAATAGCTAATCACGCATAACCTCCTATCAGGCGGACGGCTTGATTGCTGCCACACCCACTGGTTCAACAGCGTATTCATTATCTGCTGGCATGTATTAAAATATTTAGTAACATTTGATCATTAACGAACAATGTATAAACGTTTGCAATAGCTTACATTTTACAAAAGTTGATTTGACAAAAGTTAAAGTTTGTAATATGTAGGAAACGCGTTAATACTGTAATGATTATCATGCATGAATATCCTACATGATCATTGTGGCTAAATATTTATCGGAATTGTTTGTGAACATTTCATCAACTCAACATAGTTATTAAAAGTATTTAGATAGTAGGTTTTATACCAAAACCAATAAAATCTTTAAAAACAGAAAGGGAACGTTGATGAAACCGTTCACAAAGACGCATACACCCTAACCATTTGAATTCTTCCTTCCGTACGAGCCATAAAACTTTAATAAAAAATAATAACAAAAAGTTTACATCATAGGTGGTCCAATAATACACCCGTCCGTACAAAGTATTCTCTTAACACCGATATGCCCACGGTCATTATCATTTCGGCCAATTTCATTACCACCAACCGCGAAAATTAAAATGGAGGTACCTATTTAAGTATCAAATCAACTTTTTCCAATTTCAAATCAATGCTGACAAATAATACATATTCACAAAAGCTTAGTGAGGAAAGTCGTTCACCATTAGAAGTAACTGTTGACGGTAGAGTAATATGCATGTTAGATAAAAAAGATTTTTTAGAGGTAAACGCGTGTTTATGTCTAATTAAAAGTTAATTGCTTATTGATATAAGGATTATTTGGTTATTTATCTATTTATTTGCTAAAAAGGTTGAAATGTCACCATATCCAATTCCATGTGTTAACCGCGTTGGTGAGGGCGTGGATTGGGTTAAAGATATTAACGAGTTGTTAAAGTGGAATCAGAATTTTGTGAATAAGCAGCTACTTACTCATTGGTGGTGAATGCAATATAATCAATATAATACCTAAATAAACTCTTTTTTTATTGATTAATGACACTTTTCGAAACGTATCCTGTCTTTAAGTGCAACTTGTTGAGTTTGTTGGAAAAGTTTACTATAAAAAGAATGAAATCGTGTACTTTAAGGAGGAATTGCATTTAGAGAAAGTACAATCTATATGCTTTGGACAAAAGAAAGGTCTTGCATTTAGGATGAGAATTATATTGGAGGGTCTATACTAAAGAGAGTCGAAATCGATACATTTAATGATTTAAGAATCCAAAAATTTCGGTGTCACGTGACGAAGGAATAACGCTTGCACATGCTATGTGGACAGCAGGGCCCTGGAAAATTTGTGATATCATATTTTGATTGATGCTTCTAAAAACTGATTATTTTTGCATGTGTTAATTTATTGTTCACATTATAGAATTGAATATCTTGCCTAGTTTGTCAGCAGACTCAGAATCGAGCTTGGTAATTAATAAAATATGTAAAATATATTGCATATTTTTACATCTACATCAAGCATGATGGAAAGTCAGTTAATTGGTTGTCGATCCCATTGTAACACCATACCCAAATGATAAATCTTTACAAATCTGAGTAGTTGCAAATTTGTATAATAAACAGTTGACGAAATTTTAAAGAAATTTTGTTCGGCAAATTTGATTTATTGTATAGTCGATACTTCACAGCACAGCTAGTGCCAATGTTTTTTCATACATTTTTATATTGTATAATAATTATTTTTGGATTGCCATATCAGATATAAAGCACCAGTTACTGTAAGCAGCCGATGAAATTTCACCGATCAAATGGATTGGCCTCTCCGTAAAATATTTTCAAATATACAAATTTGATTGGTTTGTCTTTTTAATCTTTTGCAAATTCTCTAGGTCCCTGGTGAAGATCTACATATTTGTGTATATTTGAATTAACGTTAATATAGAAATAATTCATAATTTAATCGTTCATATAGTCACCTCTTTCTATACCAAACATCCATATATCAAAGTTGATTATAACATATTAAAAAGTTCATCAATAAACCCCAATTCAGGATTGTAATCTATTTATAAATTTGATACTGACATTATTCGATGCGAAATTTTTTTTCAAAATAATTCATTAGATATTAAATTTATTATGAATGTATATGAAGAATTACTTAAGATTTAAAAATAATTACTAGCATATTTTTCATGTCATTCGGATTTCTTCTATAGTCATAATTTATTAACCAAAGACAAAAGTTTATCAAAGGTAATAACTAGGCTATTGTAGTAACATATGTAGTTTGGTTAGCGTTGTGTTATTTTGTATTAGAAATAACCAGTGCTTGAAGATTTTCGATCAACAAGATCTAATGTTTTTAATATAATAAATGTCGTGTTTGGGATCGCGTACTGTATGTATCAATTTTTTATGTCAAATTTTCTAAATGTAATTATTCTTCAAATAACCCTTTTATTATGTCCTACCTTCAGTATTAAATTCGATGTTCTCGGTGTTCTCAGAATATTACAATTTTTTTGAGAATGCAAATTATTAAAATATGTTCTCTATTTGAAAAAATTTAATAAATTTCTTTAGCATCAAAAAGGAACATTAATTTTTCTATATAAAGAACGTTAAAAACTTTTTGAGAACATTAACCTAAAACTGTTCTTTTTTGAGAACGTAAAACCAAATTTAATTTTAACACTACCATGCTTTCTTAATGTCAGCATAATTTTGATTCGTAGTCTGTTTTTTTCTAATTTATTATCTGCAAAAATTTCAACTATACACAAAAAAAAAAAACAAACGAGCATGATGAAAAATGACTGGTTATCGAGTAATGCCCCATGATAATTAACTAATCTGATTGAATTTGCCAGAGGCAATTAAATATTTCAGTAAATTTAATGATACAATCAAATTTTCGTTATCATTATTATAGCTGTAGCTGCCAAGGGAAAATGAGACTTCGGGCTTTCAATTTTACTATCGTCCCGAAGTGAATGCACATCTATGCAATGTTAGGCGGATAGAACCAATAAAATTTGTGAATAGCTCACGTGTTACACTGCAGCTGGCAGTTATACTGTATGTCCGCACTACGCGCATTACGCTTTCATTTGGATAACAAAGATTGTTGAAAACAGTAAATTATTAAGGTATTCGTGTAGAATTTTGTAGAACTTTGAACTAAAGACTACATATACATGCATACATAGCCCTTTAAAAAGAAGTTTTGTTTGCTTCAGATTCTGGTTCCTAGTTTATTATTTACCGGATTTGGACTGATAGTAATGTATATTAATATGATACTATCATTGATCGGATTTTTCTGTAATTACTTTTTATATGATACAATCTGTTGTGTTATTTATATACTAATTCTCTCCCGGGTTTCTATTACTAGATTATTTTACATGTCACATTCTTCTAAAATGTGACATCTTGTGATGTGACAGCAAAAATATTTTTTAATAACATTAAATTGATCTTGCCCTCTTATTGGTCGATCAGGTACTTGGAGAAATTGTAATTATCTCCCTTACGTCAAAACAAAACACGAAATTTTTTACCTGGTCCTGGGTCCCTGGTTACACCTGATCTAACTGATCTCTTGCATCCTGATGCATCGTATTAATCTCTAATTTCTGAATTTATAATTATAAAAAGAAAATTTTATTTATCAACAATATCACACAATGTCAAACAAATTAGACAATGATAACATTAACGACTCTCCATTTTTTCTTAATATTAATAATTCGAAAGTTTTTAATGCTCAAAATCTTGTAACGCGAACTAGTGTCGATACGACACAAAATACAAAGAGAACGTTGGGGTCACCAACTTCAACTATCAACTCTGGTGAATTTGCTTTGTCTTTACAAAGTAATGATAGTCCTGATAAACAGTCAAATTTACAAGCTATCATTAGTAGGCTAAGAAAGTTAATTGAAGTAATATCGGGTATGTTTACATAGTTTTTTTTAACAATAGTACACTACTCAACTTTCAAGTATTTAATTATATATATGTATCCATATATTAATCACTAAATTAATAGCTTTAGTAAAAGATATCCATGAAAAGCTTTACAAAGAATTATTAGATGCGAGAAGTATACTCAATTCGTTAAATGAAATACAGAGAAATGTTGAAAAATTTTCAAACTTACAACAGACGGCACAATATTTTGAATTAGCTGACGAAATTGATGAACTTGGTATGATTGAACTCTAAGTGTGTTTCATTAGAATGTATAATAAATGTTCATTTCTCATTTTTATAGGCGTTGGGATATGGAATACTTCGATCGCTTTGAAAACGAGTGGTGTTGCTCGTGGTCCAGATAATAACGATGAAATGATAGCCTTATGTATGTTTTAAATTTGTAATATAAAGGTTTTTATTCATTGCATCTTCTATAAATTGATATTAAAAAAAATTATATCTGAAATCGTAGTTCGACAGGTTGGATTTGTAATGATCCAAACCGGTGCCGGTGCGAGTGTAAATACTGAAATAAAAAGTTACGACTGCTTTATATTAGTGTCTTTAATATTTTTGATGTATAAGATAGTACTCGTAATAATTTACTTTTGTATTATAGCTGCTGTAAAATTACTTTCATTAGCCAATAAAGTTGGTAAAGCCTGGCTAGGTATGTAAGTTATAAAAATTGATTTCTTGTTTCTACTATATAAACGTTAAATTAATCCGTCTATCTATTAAGATTGCGGAAGGAGTGATAAAGCAGATGAAATTCTGCGCTCTGCAAATGCGGTATATTAATTTTAATATTCCTTCAATATTGATTAATAGATTAACTGATTCACCTACATTTTTCAGCTAGAAGATACGGTGTTGTCTTGGCAAGAGAAATCAGCAAAAGAACTGCAATCAAGATCAACCGCTTTGGTTGTATATTACGCGTATCGTGCGGAGGCGGTATGATTACATTTCTATTTAATAATCTGACTTACTTAATTTTATATATATTATACAAAAATTTTTATATATTTTTCTAATAGGCTTGGAAATTGACAAATAGTCATGTCGCCAATCTAATGATTCAGCAAGCTACCGGTAAAAACTGTTCACTAATATTATAATTTAATCAGCTAGATATTAATTAACACTTTAATTATTTAGAAAAAGAATATTTAAACCATATTACGATAAAAGAGGTATAATATACTCTTTATATAATTTATTTTTAGTTACTTTTAAGGCATATTATCTAATATTTTTTTAGATTGACATTTTGTGTCAAGTATGCTTCACGGTTGGGCATCAAGCTTCGCGAGAGGGGAAAGTAAACGAGGCGATAAAATGGTTGAGAAAATGTCATGAATTGATTTCTGATAGGATATCACAAATAAACCCCGAGAGAACCAAGATCCTTGTAGGTCTTTTTTTTTTTTATTAATTAAAAGATGTGATCATTTTATTATTTTTATTGAATGTTGTGTTTTCGAATAATATTATTTTCAATCCAGACAAGTACGCTTAATATCTTAGGTAATATGTCGTCATAATATTTGGAGTCTGCCTATTCTTTTATTTTTCTATTTAATTTATAAACTTTGATAAATAGCGACATGTTATTTGAAGATTTCGGTACATGACGAATCTAATTTGGATCTTGCAGAGAATGCAATAAATGCATGTTTAGAGGTATGGTTTTATGAACATTACAGTTCCTATATATTATTTCGTTTCTAGATTCATTTACTAATCCTCAACGATTGTAGGAGGACCCTGGCAATGTTCTAGCGACTTCGTTAAAATTGAAAATCATTAAGCAAAGGAACTTTGACCCTGTGTCGTTTGAGGAAGGTGCATATAACACATTTACTTTATATATTGTATACGAATGAACTAATGAACTCTATTTTAAACATTGTGTTTATATTTCTATGAAAATAGTTTACATACAATTAATGAGAACTGGTCAGGTTACAAAAGAAAGTTTAAAAGTGTGAGTGGGTATCCCATTCTATTCTAAAGATTTAACAAAGATCACATTCTGTGTATAATAATGGAGATTTTATTCGTGTTTAGTTTATTGAATGTTGCTCATACCGTTAGTGAATTTAAGTAGGCATTTAAATATTATTAATATTCTGGTCTTTTATTAGCTTCATTCTAACATTTCTTTTTAGTGTGATGATGGCTTTAAAAGGCATGGATATTCTCATAGAAGAAAAGCTTTCGGATATTCGCAAGATAGAATTTATAGAAAAAGCTATTGTTGCAAAATTTCATATATTGGGGAATTGTAAATCAGAAAATTTAGACCTTAATGACGCTATTAGAAATATTGAAGTGACACTTGGATGTATGTACGTTTTAAGAATATTTGAGGGTGAGTCAATAGAAATCAAGCAAATTTTTTATAATAAAAATTTTTTATAACTTTAAACAAGAATAACTTAATAAAAAACTTGACCAAATTTAATAAAAATTTTTTTAAATAATTTTTACAAACTTGTAGAATTAATTTAAAAAAAATTTTATTAAATTTGATCAAGTTTTTGTTAAGTTATTCTTGGTTAAAATTTTAAAATAACTTATTAAAAAATATTTGCTTGGTTTCTATTGACTCAACTCCATTTATTCATTGCACTTTCATTCTTTATAAGCGCTATCTTGCAACTTTCTATTTTCTGACGATTAGTCGAACAACGGCATGGCGTCGTAATTGGACATAAGACAAAAGCTGCTTGTCAATTGGTAAGTCAAAACAGTAGACTGTATATATTTGTTTACTAAAGATTGACAAATTATATCTGTAGATACTTTGGCAAAAGGGTGATCAGAATTATGCAGTAAGAAATAACGTTTTATGTTTCAATATTAATTCTATTGAGTCAAATTTTAATTGTAATATATTTATACAAAAGATCCATCAGTATGATCGAGCAAAAAAGTGGTACGCGGTTGCATATAAATCATTAGCAGCTAATCAAGCGGATGGTCGCAATGCCGCAATATTACAAAGGTGATTCTTTCTTCAAAGGTATAATAGTTATTTTATGAATTTACGTTTGCTAACAATTTAAGTGAAATTATATTGTTTAGAAAAATTGCTCTATGTCATCTTGAAGACCATGCGTTAGCCGATGCAACCGAAGCCATCCGCCAAGCCCAATTGCATGAAAACAATTCGGCTGCGAATTTTTATATACTATTCCATATTGCGATGGAAAAACGACAAATTGCTCAAGGTTCTATTAAATATTTTAATTAATAAATTTTGATATATCCCGCAAAAACTCAAAAAGAATTTTTTATATAGCAATTCAGCATCTGCATGAAATGTGTAAAGGGGATGAATTTCACGGAAATATGCTCACGATGGCCGCTCATGAGGCTTATCAGAAAGGATATAAGGCAGTTCTTGTCGAAGCTTTGAAGGAAATTCTGGAAAAACATGAAAAGGGTGAAGATATCGCTAATGTGGATATATTTGTTTTACTCAGGTTAATATTAATATGTAAACCTTCAAAGTAAATAAATACCATACTTACATATGGAAAATATTTCAGATGCTTAATACGAATGACGTACAACTCCTTGTCTGGCGATGAAATGGAAAAGTAAGAATATTATTCTTTTTATTTGTTGATATGATTAATGTAGTGCTTATTAAAATTCCATTTTTTTCGCAGGGCTTCACTTATGGATTATATATGTGGATATTTTGAAATTGGTAACTAATAGGTTTTTTTCATTAATTGGCGTTCAACGATCTAACAAGTAGTTTGATGTTATATAGCTTTAAATCTTATTAAATCAACCGAGAACGAACGAAACAAAATAGATGACTCTATACAACAAAAAAAACCACTATTAAAAGATTTGGAATGGTTTTTCAAAACAGGTATTTACATTATTATTGACGTGTATTTTTCTAAAAATTGTTTATTAGAAACTCTGATCATTTTTTTAGCATGGAATATGGGTTTAGAATTTTGTCAAATAGCACAAGAAGGGAGTGAAATGTTTTCCATTCAATTATTTGATATCGCTTATAAGGTATATTAAGATTGTTAAATGGATTTTGATAGAAAATAGCTACAACTGATAGATTTCACACTGCTTATAGTTTTTAAATGAATATCCCGAAGAGACATTAGAACACATTAATCGTAAGAGGCTTTGTATTTTTACCTCCCTGTGTGGTAGATTATTTCTTTCTCGACAGCAAAAATCGATATCCCAAAAGGTATTCATTATGCTATCTTTATTTAAAAAATAGTCAACGATCATTAATACGCATTATACTATTTATTAATAGAAAGATCTATTACAACAAGTACTTTCAAGTGTTGATCAATACAAAAAGTTAAAAAAGACATTAGGCAAAAGAAAGAGATCTACATTGGATGATATTCAGGAAAATAAATCCGTTGCACAAAGCGATATGATCTTAATAATTTTATTCGAGTTTGAAGCTAAAGTAAAGCTGGGGTTGTGGGATGAATTACTAACAGCTCTTGATGCAAGTATCTCTTTAAAGAATGTAATTATTGTGAAGTCATGAATACGATAATCTTTATTTTATTTTATTTTAGGCTGCTGAAGCATATGATTTTGATGTACCTCCAAGAATCTTTGAACGTATGGCAGAATTACTGATTAGTGAAAATGAATGTCCGAGCACAGGTAAAATTATGAAAACAAGATATATTAATTTTAACCATTTTCATACTTGTTCTCATTAACATTTCGAAAATTTAGTAATATTTTCTACACTACAGGTATGATGCCTAAATTTTCAATAAATTCACTAAAATGACAATAAGTTTGATCAAGTTTATTTTATATTTATTATAGATTCTGTTGAACTCCATAACTAAGCGAAAACAAGTGGATATTGAACAATTTTCGAGATGGTTCCGAATGCTGATTATAACTTCTATGGTAAAAGATAGGCAAGCATCTGCACAATATTTCGACCAAGCTTTGGACATACTAAGTCAGGAATGTTCAAAAGTATGTAGCGTTCATATATATAATAGTGATCATGTAAATTATGTCTAAGACTGTATTTCGAATAGCAAAAAAAATATCCTGAAGAAGAAATTCAATGGCTAATGGTAAACGCGTGGAATTATGGTATTGATTATTACTCGTAAGTAATTTTTTAGTAATTAACATTTGCAGAACAAATATATTATCTATGATAATTATTGAACTAAATTCCAGTGTTAACGATTTCGTAAACGCGAAGAAATGGTGTGAAACTGCAATAGCTTTTTGCCGATTCATGGAAAATGGTTTATTATATGAAGAAGAGGTATTATACGAATGCGATTCTAATAACTATTGTTTATTTATATACTAATAACAATTAAAAATCCGTTCTAATGCATAGATGAGAAAGTCGTATAACGAAATAATAAAGAACTATGACTCGAATTTAATTAATGAAATATAAAAATGCCTAACTTAACATAAAGATAGCGTTATTATTGTATATATGGAATCTAAAATTAATTTAAAATTTATTTATTAAATATACGTATTAGAAAAAATTAATAATCGGTATCTACTTTGTAGATGTAAATATATTATAACCTTATTTAAATAATATGGATTAAGAATAACATTATTAAATATATACAGAATATTTATTTGCTAATTTAGATTAGAAAAAAACTAATTACATCAGCGAAATATATAAACGTAAATTTACGCAAGTTATTACGCCCCCGAAATATTGCGCAATAATTACGGTCTGGACATAATATTGCACAAAAAATTGCGAAAAATTGCGCAATATATAACGTATTACGCAATATTATGAAACTTATAGTGTAAAATTACACTAAAGTTGCATAGTATTTCAAAATAATTCGAAATATCAAAATAGATATAAATGTATCAAAACAGCAAAATATTTATAGAAAAAAAGATAGCACTATTTAGAATTTATCAAATAATATTTGATCTATTTCGGGTTATTTTGAAATATTTCGAAATAAATAAAACACATATTTAAACGCAATAATTATAAAATTTATTAGATATTTCGAATTATTTCAAAAAAATGCTAAATTTATAAACTTTATTTAAATAAACGAAATATAAATTTTATAACTTAAAATATATTTTATTGATAATTTTATTTTTTATTTTATTTAAAATTTAATAATTACATA